AATATATCTCAATTCTAGTTTTAGAATTGATGGCAGACGTACCCCGAAGCGAGGACGACGGGGGAACTGCCTCATCAAATCGTGTGTTCTTTAGTTTCTGTCATTTTCAATTCAGCTTATAAAATAAGTGATTCTAGCTTAAGTGATTATTGTCAAACTGTGATACAAATTGAGTAAGGTGTTGAAACTCTGTTTTTAACTACTAAGTACAATAAAAATATTGTACTAGGGCATTTCCAATCTCTTACTCAACATAAATATCCTTTGAGGTATTTGTGCACACAAACTGTTCGACAAAAGTCCTGAACTAAAATTGTCTTATTTTGTTTCTAGTTTTTGTGTGCCTTGTTTTTCATTGGAACTAGGTAACCTTGCAAATTGAAGTAAATAATTGATAAGCGTAGTTTGTGTTGTGATTCTATTTTTCCGAATTGTCATAAATCCATAGGCTTACGTATATCCGGTTTTCCAATAACCGTTCGTTTTAGACTATATTTTTCCTCGGCCGCTTCCGCACTTAAAACCTTTTTAAAACCAATTTTAAATTGGTAGCGCCGACTCAAATTTTAATTGGGGATCTATTCAACCCCCCCTTCTAGATTCGTGCCATAGTCTAACACGAGCTAGGTGGGAATCCATGATGGGTGCCTAGTCTTGTCCGGGCTGTATGTGAGATTCGAGTGGAGATAAGTTGTAGTTTAGAGGATTCGTCGAGCTGAAGCATCACGAAGAGGTGAGTGTACATGATGTCCACTGAGCTCCCTCCGTCGACCAGGATGCGTCGGACGTCGAAGTTGGCCATTTGAGCCCAGATCAGTAGGGGAATGTTCGAGTTGGGGGCTTCCCCGGGGAGCTCTTCGAGGTAGAAGGTGATCGGATTGGATCTACCTTGGAACTTGTCCAGCGTGCTCATCTTGCCGGAGTTGTTGCTTATGAGCTCGTCGAACTTCCGCTTAACTGATCCTACTGAGAGTTTGCTCGGGGTCCCGCCGGAAATGACCATTTCCCTCGGGAAGTATTCCCACCGGTTGATGGGGCGTACTGGCTCCTCGGGTAGCTGAAGTTCGGTAGGGAGATTGAACCTCTGAGAGCGAACCAGTCCTCTGGTCGGCCGACGGTGAAAGCTACCTGTAGGCCGGAGTCGTTGCTGGGGGGAGGGAGGTCCTCGATCTTCTTAGCCTCAGGAGCCTCTTGCTGTGAGGGGTCTCCTCCCCGGCTGTACCTCTTCAGATGCCCGTCTTTGATCAGAATTTAGATTGCATCTTTCAGGTGGATGCAATCCTCCGTCACGTGACCGTGGCTTTGGTGGAAGCGGCAGTATTTCGATTTGTCCATGTTGGCTTTGGTGGGTGTTGGTTTCGGGAAACAGACACCTCCCCGAACAAACTCTAAATTGGCGCATTCGGCCAGTATGCGCTCGCGGGAAGCGACTAGTGTCGTGTATTCAATAAAACGGCCAGCAGAGCCACGCTGCTCGCGGGGCTCTCGGGGGCGGTCATCCCACCGTCGGTCTCCCCCGCGCCGGTGGGACGAGGCCCCCTCGTCTCGGGACCCGCGAGAGGTTTCTTTGTCCTGGGTGTCACGGGCAGAGTTGGCGGCCTGCGTCTCTTCGAATCGTATATAGTGGACGGCTCTGTCGAGGAAGTCTTGGAGGGAGCTCGGTCGGTGGATGGCTACGACCTCGTAGAATTTAGAGTCTCGATGTAGGTCGTGCTCCATCAAGTAACGTTTCATCTCGTCTGACGTCGTTACCTGCACCGCTTCCCTGGTGAACCTCTCGATGTAGTTCCTGAGGGGCTCATCAGGGGCCTGGATGATCGCGCCCAGCGCGGCCTCTGTCTTCGGGTGGCGCCTCGACGCCGTGAAGTGTCGTGAGAATAGATCCTTCAGAATCTTCCACGACGTGATGAACTCGGGCTCCAGGCTCTTGTACCACGTCATCGCGCCTTTCCTCAGGGTCGTCAGAAAGAGCCGACACTTGATGGCTCCCCGGACGTTCCGATAGTCGAGCATAGCTTCGATGTCTTCCAGATGGTCGTCCGGATCCGAGGTGCCATCGTACGTTGATAGCACAGGTGGTTTCTCCATCCCGTGGGGAATGGGAGCCGCCATGATCTCCTGGGACAACGGGGTCCTGTAGTCGTCTTTGTCGCTGAGGATCGGGGACGAAGGGGGCGAGGGTCCATTTCAAGGAGGAGGTTGGTTTCGTACCCTCAGTTTCCTGACCGGAGCCTCGGGTCTCCCCGTCCTCGGCTCCTAAGAGCGTCGATCCTTCCTGGTCGGAGATCTTGCTCGTTTCTTGGAGACCACAGGTTGGGGTCTCTCCAATTGTGATCGGCGCCCCCGTGGTTGGGGAGAGAGGCTCCGAGAGTTCCCGCGCTAATTTCTCTGCGGAGGAGAGCGGGATGAGGTGTCGTATTCCAGTGCGCCAATGCGCTCGTTCTGCTGGAACAACATCTGGTTCGTCTGGTTGATGGCCGCGAAGAGGGTGACCATCGTCGAGCCCGCACCGGCCGGAGTGGGTATGAGCTGAAACACTGCCGGGCTCATTGCCCGAGGAACGACATGGTGTGACGCGTCCTCGGAGGAAGGGGAGGCGGTCTGGCCGTCCCTGACGTCGGTCTCGCAGAGTTGAGATGTCCCCCCTGACCGTCGCCGTTGGCGACGGGGATAAGGGCGGAGTTGTGAACATCGTCGTCATGGTGTGGGCTAGTCATGACCCTGAAGTTTTGAGAGATGAAGCTTTGGTTCTCTGCTCGGAGGAACGGGGAAGCTTAGTTTCCCACAGACGATGCCACTGATCTGACCTGATCAGAAGGAAGTCAGTGACCTGCCACGCACCTTTGATCTGCCACCTGTTCACCGGAGGTATGGAAGAGGAGGGGGTGTAGCTGCAAGACACTCTGTTGCCAAAGTGAGTAATGGACCAGAGTGAGAGCAAATATAGAAGAGAGATAGAGAATTGAATACCTGACCCTCTTGCGAAAGAGGGTATTTATAGAGAGACCACAGCACAAGGCCAACTGTCACTTGTGTTGGGTTGGATTGTCAGACCCAACCCAGGTGACTGCTAGGGCTTACGCGGCGTAGTGAAGACCAGCACGTGGTCTTCACCCTAGTTCAACCGTCCCGTGATCTCCGAAAGGTGGATTAATCAACTCTTGCAGAGGTGGGTGGTTGAGTGAGGACGTGTCTCCGCGGAGGGGAGCACGTTGAGAACGTGTGGAGGACACGTTGTCCTGCCTGACGGTTGAGGTGCTCCGCTCGGAGAGGGCAACCTCTAGTCGACAAAGGTCCTGTCCTCGACACCGCCCTGTTTGGGCTGGTTGGGGCCTTCCCCATGTACAATTGGGTTGGGCTTGTCTGGACAAACCGGGGCCCAGTCCAGAACAACGAGTAACTCCGTTTCTCCCTGACTCCTCGACCAACCTCTCAATTTTCCTAATCTTTTCACGTGCAACAATATCTCCTTCTAGCCAGCGGTTCAGTTCCCTATGCAAATGCTTCAACGTCTGCGTATTCCACAGTAGCACCTTCATCGGAGGCTTTGTTGCTGAAAAATAAACTAGGGCATTTCTTTTCATTAGAGAAAATATTGGAAACAGTTCCTCCGATGATGATGAGGACGACGAAGAACGTTGATTTAGAAATGCAGACATTCTATACTCCACTAAAAATTATTAAGACTTTAGTCTTTTGTTATAAATTATTGTGAAAAAATATATGCGTGTGCAGTCATATTTATAGAAAAATAAAATAGTACGGACGATATATGATATGCTTTAAATACCCTTACAAAATTTATATACTTTTTTTCAACAAATACCAAAATTTAACAACGTAGGATTTAAAAATATCAAAGGTGACCTACAATTATATATTTATTATGTTTAAATTATATATTACTTATATATTTATTATGTTTTAAAATTATATGTTAATTATACATTTATTATGTTTTAAAATTTAAACATATTTATATTTATTATGTTTTAAAATTATATGTTAATTATATATTTATTATGTTTTAAAATTTAAACAAATATATCAAATATCAAAAAACTAAAATTATATTTATTTTAAATAAAATTTAATTTATTTTAAATCAATTTTTATTATTTAATAAAACTAAAACTATAAATAAAAGAAAAAAAATAACTACAACTGATTCGTCAAATGGGCTGGCGAATCTTTGTAAAAATTTTTTTTAAAATTTGGTCTGATTCGCCAAATGAGCTGGCGAATTGGTTTTGAATTGAGTAATTCAATCAAATCATTCAAGGCATGAATGCTGATTGTTGGCAACTTTCATAAATATTTTCAAAACTTATTTTATTTGAAAATATTGGTTAGTTTAAAAAAAAAATTCTAAAAGGGGTCAATAAAAATAATTAATGGAATAAAACATAATTATTTTAATTAATTAATTATTTTAAAAAATATTATTAAAAAAAGTAAAGAGAACCAATATATAAAAGGGACAAAATATAGTTTCAGTTTGTGAAAACTTTAGCTAACTTTTGTTTATTAAAAATAGAATAAAAACAAATTTTTAATAAAAATTTAAAAAGAACCAAAGAAAAGAGAAATATATACTTTTTATAAAATCTTAATATAAAGGAAATCAATAAAAAAAAGGCGGATTAAATATTTGGTGTGAAAAATAAGGATTTTTTAGCTAGTCTGTGGAAAAAGGTTAAATTTTATTAAATAATAAAAAAATAAATAAGCAAAATTATTAAACTAATCTTAGTTTTTCTTCAAAACCTTTGTCAATAAAATCAAAAGAAAATTTCAATAGAATCAAATCCAACAACAACACAAGTAACCTACTAGTCAAATCCATATAATGTGAGGACAAATTATTTTCTAATAGATGGTGTCACAAAATTATTATTATATAGTTATAGTTTTCCATCCATAATACATTCAACAAAATAAAATAATGGTTTGTATACTAATCTTTGAAGCAAATTATGAAAACAAAATCAGAAATAATATCAAAGAGGTAACCTAATATTGAGTCTTCTAAGCCATATTGAATGAAGAATCATATGAAACACATCAAACGGTTTAGCCGGATGATTCAACACAAAATGTCTTTGAACTTTCAACACTCTCCTTTGCAACTTCAAGTACTTTTCTTGTGAAACACTTTTCAATATTCTCTTGATTTCACCTATCCTCTTTGGTGCAATCTGCAATGAAAATTTGCTCCAATCAAGAACATCACTAAACGGTAACTGATAACTATCCGAAATAATCACAGGCACACAACCAGCATTAATGGCTTCCACAATTCTTGGACTTGCCACTTCATATCCACTTGGACACAAACAAAACTTACTCTTCCCCATGAGGTTGTTATAGTTAAGGTTTTTTGGAAGATACTCATAAACTAGAACCTCTTCATCTTTTCCCTTCCATTGATCCTGTAACATCTCTCTAATCATACCATGTGTCCCTCCGGCAAAGAAAGCGAGTATCGATCGATTATTAGGGTTTCGGGAAGGACTCGGCGCGCTTAGCTTGAAACTTTGTAAATTCATTTCCGGCATTGAAACGTCCTTTACAGGATGAAACTCTTCCGAAGTATTGGCATTGCATAATACTCTTATTAAGTTCTTGTAAATCTCTCTGCCCGAATCTTCTTTCGAGATTTCTGGCGCCCAATCGTGACACGAGACTAGTAAATGATCTGCACCGTTGCTTCTATTCCAGTATGGATACCTTTGCGCTATGATGTTGGTGTAATCAATGGTGACACGCATGATTTGATCTCTAGAATATGTGGTTAGAGGATTATATAGATATTCAACCATGTTTGCGACGCTTAAGGGGAGCATGAATGCATGAGCTTCGTCTGGATTGCGCGCGGAGAATGGGCTCGAACTGTTATCGATCTCGACCATGAAGTGTCCTTCGATGCTGTAAATCGAAACCATGGGACCGCTATGGAATAATGGCGGTTCACCTTCTTTGTAAGTCCATACTTTGAATCTCTTCAACATTTCCATGTGACTTCTGCATAATTTTAGAGTATGACAAAAGTTAGAATATACAAAATTAACGTTACATATTAATCTAAAGTTTAATAAAATATGATAAGGAGGCGTGACGCGGTGTAGTAGAAAGATCCTAAAGTCCGAACCTATCGATCGAATTTTAGACAGTCCACCGTTTAAATCCACGCACCAAATTCAAAAGAAGTGCTGTGTTATGCCAAACTCTAATAATACTTTAATAAAAAATAAATAAATTTAAGATATTATATTTTCTTTATTTATTTTTAACTTTCATAAAGTATTGATTTTTTTATTTTATAGTTTTACACCTATTTTTTAAGATATTAAATTGATTGTGTTTTGTTTTAATAATGTTTTGCCTGTAATTTTGGTCAACATTCAAAGACTAAAAGAATAGTTTAAAACTAAAAATATTATAAAAAAAAAACAAAAGAAATTATTAAAGGATGATGAAATGTATTTAGCCTTTAAAATAATATAGAAACATAACAAAAAATCTTCTCCATACATATTAGAGTATACCCACTCACTTTCTTTTATATATTTTTTATACAATTTTAAAAAGAAAAATAGGAAAGAAAAGATTTTAAAATTGAAAATATATATTTTAAGAAAGAGTTAAAAAATAAATATTTTAATAAATAAAGAATGTTATTTTTAAAAACAATGTATTTCAATATTTTTCTAATACATATCGGAATGCATCGACTTGAAAAGTATTGAAAACTTTATCAATTTGAAAGCATCAAAACTTAATTCTATTGAAAAACAATCTTGAGAGGTAATTCCAGACATATAAAACAACTAATAATTTAATCAAGCAAATTAAAAACCTACACATTAAAGAAAAAACAAAATAAAAGCTTATGTATAGTTGTTACTTAACTGATGAAATGCATAAGCGTTTCTGTAAACGCATCCTCTTGGAATGAAATCTTCTTTCTCTGATGGGTTGATTGTGAAGTTTCTTCTTTTTATGGCTCTTCTAATAGCCACTCTTGCTTCACCCAACTCTTCTTCAATCCTCATTAAACTATTTTTTGGTATTAAGAGTTTCGCGTCGGATAATACAGGAATTCCGCCGACGAAATTTCTTTGATAAACAAAGAAAATAATGATCAACATTACAAGCAATGAGTTCTTTATCATGGTTGATATTTTGTTTCTTCTATTCACTTTGGTGATAAATCGATGATTCACTAGCTAAGATATATGATATGAGAAACAAAGTTGACTCAAATATACTTTAGAGAACACAACACAAACTCACTTTTCATTGTTGGTAAAGAATATTTGGTCAAAATTTTATGATTTTTTTTGAATGAGTTAGATCCATGCAAGGGAGAGCACTTAATTAGGTATAATTATGAAAAAGGAAAAAAATCTCATTTTAATTAGTGCTATAAAAAATATATTAAAAATTAAAATAAGATAGAGTAATTAATATTTAAAGATTTTGTACTAAAGATTTATTTATACCATAAAGTGACTTATATTTTAATATATTTTTTTTAATATATTTTTTTTTCAAATGTGTATCATTGAATATTTAAAAGAATTTAACTTTTATTTTAACTATTTATAAAGTAAGATAGGTAGATGATGTTAATAAATTGACGATGTAAATTTTTTTATATCAATTAATCTCATTTTAATATTAATTAGAATAGTTTAATTTTACTAGTAGTTATATGTAAATAAAACATAATATTTTATTGTCTCGCTAAACAACTGAGTTGATAACTGAAAAAATATTAAATTAATATTTAACTAATAAATGAATACATATAATTGATATACTAGACAAAATAACTGAACATTCTATGCGCACACACGTAATTTTAAATAGCTATGTTATTTATGGCATGTGTTTTACTCGTAATAAAGCATAATTAATACATTAAAATTAATGAATGAATTACTATAGCATCCCAATTCAACTGTCAAAGTTAACATCATATCAATCTTAATATGGTAGTAATAATTTTAAATTTTTAATTATATTGTCATTAAAAACTGTTTAATTTTCATTTAAGGCATGTTTGTTTTATTTTTTTAAATTTTTTTTTTGGTACGTCTAATTGGAGAGATTAATTTTTCAACAGATAAATATTATAATGAACGACAAAACTCTCTCTCAAGAGATAAAGATATTTTATAATAAACTTATTTTTATTTTAAAAAGTTTACAAATAATTTTAATAAAAAAAGGTATAAATAAAATAATTTATTTAAATAATTTTTCATAAAATTTTATTTAAGGTATGTCATCTTTTTGCTTTGATATTTTAATATAAAAAATCACTTAAAGTTAAATGATTTTGAATAACTTTTCATAAAAAATATTTTTAATGTATATTTATTTAAAATAAAATTATGTGATTTTACTCATGTTTTTATCCTAATAATGAGTATTTATGTAAAAAGAAATCAAAATTAGTGTTTTAATTTATAAAAGTGTGCTTGAAAAGAGCAAGGATGTGACTTAGGTGGTGATGTTAATCCTAGATCCTTCCCAGAAAGTTGTTTGATGAAAAGCTCAAATGATGATAAACTTTTACTTTTACTTGAACACAATATTTTTCTTTAAAAACGGAGAACAATGTCATAAATAAACAAGTACCACAATTTTTATCCAAAAAATATAGGCAATGCTAAGTACATACATTGGATTTTTATTAATTTATGTTATGTTTTGATAAACAACTTAAACAAGAAAAAAAAACAAACCCAAATAGGTTCTTAAATAAGTTATCTAATATTATAATCTAATTGTCTGCAACTCTAAAAATGTCTATGTATTGCTACTATTCACGTTGATAATATTTATCAGTATTTTTTTTGTAGTAATTAATACCTATATTACTAAATCTTTATAATAACATAGCCTGTGCCTATGTGCATTTATCAGTATCTTTTTGTAGTAATTTATACCATATGCTAGCCTATCCCTATTTATTCATTCTAATTTGTTGAATGAAATTAATACCACTCATCTAAAAAATAATTACCTACAAGTTTGAAATTGCAAATCTTGGATACTGTCATAAAATGAAATTATTTCAGGTTGCAATCAAATGCAATCATTCTACATTGCTCGCAGTAATGTTTTTTTTTTTTTTTTTTTTTTTTTTTTTGGAGGTTTCTACCAACACTTTCCAACTGTCTTGTGGGATGGTTACTTCCACTCTTTTTGACCTTGCTGCTATTGTTGGCCTTTGGCCTCGTTGAAAAGATTACAAGCCTTTTGCTGACACTAATTTTAAATTTTCGAGTCATGCTTACATTACCTTATTAAAGAGCATCGGGGGTCTGGTGATGTTGTCGACGCTCGCGAGCACATAACCTTTCTGACTCGTTGGCTGTGGCGTTACACCTTTTGCCCTCGCGGGATTCAAATCACCAAGATGTACACATCCCTGGCTACCCGACTTCATGAGGGGGGAATGTCTACCTCAGCAAATTGATCTTGACAAGTCTTTATGAATCACTAAGACATGCGTCTGAAGACCTTAGGTGAAGGGTTGACAGTTTTAGATTGGGGGGCCTATTTGGTTGTTACAGTTGTGGCTCAATGCCACTTTTGCTCATGCCTTTGACGTTCAAATCTCTCATAGCATCTAGATAGGTCTTCAGGGTACACAACTTGTGAATGACTCCTGATGACGACAATGCAATATCTAGGGAAGCCTTTGAGAAGTATTTCTACATTTTTTTACAAATATAATGCTTTTGACCCATCAATGGCGCCTTTTGCTTCTCGACAATATGGTTTAACATGGTTTGATGCACCATTCCCCAACCTTGCTACCGAAAAGGAGAAGGTTATTCATGGCGTTCTTTTGGAATGCCTTTGTTCTGCACCTCTATGGACGAGACATACCACCAAGAAAGATGGGATAAACCTTGGCTTATACCAACCTAACCTGGTTGCTAGGCACAACAACTCCCAAAACCTTTAGTTGAGGATCTACGGGGCATGGTTCTTTTCACAAACACCACAAAGGAGGAGACTCTGGATGTCTGTCTTGAGTTTTTCCGGGATAAATTTTCTTATCTCCCTTCTTTTGACTACTCCCTTTCTTTCTAATGTACGAAAGAATTTGACGACCAGTGGAATTCTTATTACGCCAAAGTGGCGTTTCCTCAGCCCATATCGAAACAGATCTCTAGGGCTTTTTCCTTCCAATTAGCTAAAGGTCAAACCAGCCAAGGTATGTTCCCCTTGCGTTTTTCTAGTTGTTAGAAGTCATTCTCGATTGTTTCTTTTGACTTATGCATTTTTTATTTGTTTTAAATACCTCTCGACAGTCAAGAGGTTCTTCTTAGAAAACCATTGTTCATGAGAGGGAGCCAGGAGTTACTTATAAGGCTCCACAGGTAAAACTACCAGTTGATTCTCCTTTTTGAATATGAGCTCTCTGTTCGTATAATATTTACCTATATTATTCCTCAGCGTAAGGCGAGGCATGTCGCCTCTTCAGGTGTTAGTACTTTCAAGCATCGAGGTGTGGGGCAAACTCTCTATAAGGTACCAACTAGCCAAGAAGCACTGGTTTTTACTAGATTATTGATTTCTTCACTGCTTATCTTATTTCCTAGTTTAACCTCCACTTTTGTTAGTCCCTATAGAAAGAGTCAGAGTTTTGCAGTGGCGAAGAGACTCTTGGTTCCCTTCAGTCATTTCCCTATAAATTCAAAGTCTTCGCCCTAACAGGCACTATCGCACTCAAGTCATGCCAAGATACTGCAATGTTGGAGCCTTCTGGTAGGAAGAAAAGTAAAAGATATGCTCAAGTCCACTATTTCCCTTGGCACTGAGGGTGCGGGGGAGGCTGGACAAGTTGTCTTGAAGAAAAAAGAAAAAGAGAAGGTCACATAATGTTTCCACTTAACCTTCAAGTTATCATCCCACATCTTCTACACATGCACTGTATGATGCACATGTACTTTGATCCTTTATTGACTTTTTACTCGTTCGCTTTTTTGCTTGGGTTGTAATTCCATTCCTTTGTGAAGGTTTTGGAGACTAATCCCGATGGTTCCCAGAGTTCGGACGTTCTTAGCCTCACCTCTCATTCTCCTAATTCTAGCACCAAGCACGTCACTCCTACCGCTCTTATTTCACTATCTACCCAGGATGGTGATTCTGTGATTAATCAAGGAGGAACAACAAAAAAACAGGGTTTGCTTGTGCAACCATTGAAGAAATATTTTCCACTCAGGAGGAAATCAATCGCTTTCAATGTCTGCGCAACTCCTCTGTCCTTCCTGATGAGCAAGGAGGCTTGCACTCGTCGCCTAATCTTGGTTCGAAATCCAAGGGTTCTGACACCTTTCTTATTTCTGCATCAACCGCTAGCCCGTCTAGCTGGAGTGAGGCACCTCAAGAAACAATAGTCGAACTCTTTAAGCGCCTCGTTGAATCGTATGGCGGGTTTCCTATGAACTCTCCTACCTTGCCTAAAGCATTCTTGGTTCCCAACTTCAATGATCTTTTTTTAACAAATGAAGACAAAGGCGGCTAACATAAATCTTTTGGAATTCGTTCGCGCCAATCTTCCTATTCTTGTCGAATTACAAGAATTGATGTTGAAGTTGAATCAATCAGAGGCCCCTTCCTTATCTCCATTATAGTCTTGGATCTGGAAATTCTTTTGGACCAAGCCATCCAAGCTATAGCCCTTAAAAGGTATTTTGCTAGATGTGTTAGGGAGAAAGCTGATGCCTTAACCCAACAACAATGTCCAGTGTCTCAGTCTCAAAAAAATGTTGCCCACTGGGAGGCCAGAGTAGTTGATAAAGAGGTGTTGGCCTTTCTTGATAAAGATATCTTGTCATGGACCCATCAATCAATTGGTTGCAGAAGGCTCTTGAGGACACAAAATAGAAAAGGGATGTAATAGACACTATAGGTTTGGATTCCCTCGAGACAAATATAATGAAAGAAATTGGCTTAGGTGTTTGTTGAATGCCAAACATGTCTTATTTTGATACATATTTCTTGGCATTTTTCATCTCATTTTGTA